AATAAATAATAATAAAATAATAAATAATAATAAAATAATAAATAATAATAAAATAATAAATAATAATAAAATAATAAATAATAATAAAATAATAACTTATTACTTTAAGTATAAAATAAATATATCTCTTTAATATATTTAATATAATTATATTTAATAATTATATAAAAGAGAGTTAACTTTATTAAAGACCTTAAAGAGATTAATTATAGTTATAATTAAAAGGATTATAACTTTAATATTAATTATTATATTAATTATAATAAATAAAATAAAATTAATAAAAAAGAAATAATTTATTTAATTAAAGTAAAATAATTAAATTATTTTTTTTATTTATATTTAAAGTAATTATAAATTAAATAAAGTAATTTTATTTATAAAGAATAAAAACCCTTATTATATAAATACCTTAGACCTATATCTTTTTTTAATTAATTATATATTATTTAGCCCGCTATAAATAAATAAGGTATATAAGTATAAGTTAGCGTAAGTACTTAATTATATAGCTATTATTTTAATATAATATAATAAATACTTATAAAACGTAATATATTATAGTTAATACCTTTTAATATTATATTATAGCTTATAATATAGCTAAATAGCTATATTATAGGCTTATAGCTTAAGAAATAGATCTTAACCTCTTTTATAATTTATCTAACCTTCTTTTTATAATATAACTTATTATAAATAAGCTTAATAAGCTTATAATAAGTCTTAATATTAATAAGGTATTTTATAATAATTTTATTATTATATTAATCTTATTTTTATTATTATTACCTCTTTTTAATATATATAAAGATCTCTTTAGTTTCTTAATTACTTTTTACTATAATAATAATACTTATCTTATTAAAGCCTTATTTATTAATAAATATAAGATTAATAGTATCTCTTAATTTATATATATTATCTTTTAGTACGATTATAGCCTTAAGTAAGCCTCTAAGAGTATAAATATCTAGAAAATAATATCTTAAAAGCGTAACTACTTTATTAAAGTTATTACCTTAATTATTAAATCTTCTAGCTAAATATAAATATATAAAGCAGCTAAAAGTTATTATAATTATAGTTAATCTCTTAATTTATTTATTTATATTTAATTTTATTAATATATAATAATATAATAAAAGAAAGAAAGAGAGCTTATTAATAAATATAATATATAAGCCTAAAAGATAATAAGGATTATTTATAAAGCTAACTTAACTTATAGCTTCTTTTAAAAGAAAGATATTATTATAAATTAAGGACGGCTATAAAGTAAGCTATTTAATAAATAGACTAAAGGGAAGTTAATAAGACCCCTATTATATATATAATAAGTAGAATCCTAAGAAAGGTTAAGAAAGGTTATATAATTAAGTATATATACTTAAGGATTACGAAAAGTATAGTAATTTAAGTAAGCTAGGCTTATAGGGATTACAGTAATTTAAGTAATTAAGAAGAAATCAATAAAGAGCTAAATAGATATATATATTATAGTCTTTACCTAAGAGTAGATAGCTAGATCTTTAATAATTAATTTAAGTATTTACTTAAATAAAAAGTCTTTAAAGCTTCTTAATAAACTCTTATTAAATCGTTTATTACTTATTAAACCTAGCTTACCTCTTAAGTAATAATAAACCTTAGGACCTTACTTAAGCTCTATTATAAATATCTATAATAATAAATAGATTATAAAAGAAAGTACTTTAATAGCTTAATAATAATTTAAGTATTTATTAAAGAGCTTAAAATAGCTAAGATTAAAGTTAATAAATTATTTAATAATAAAGGCTACTTTAAAGCCCTCTTTTAGACTTACCTTTAATATTATAAGATATAAAAAAAAATTTCTAGAAATCTTTAACTTTAATAATATTTATTAAATTAATTACTTTAAGATATTATTTTTTTAGGCTATAAGTATTATAAACTAAAAGACTATTATTAATTTTACTTTTAGCTTTATTAATAATAAAAAAAATATTATTTTTAATAGCTTTATAAAAGGCTTAATAAGCTTTATAAAAGCCTTATTATTATTACTTTAAAAGTTATAATAATTAATAAAGAATAAGCTCTTTATATAATATTTATAAAAGTCTTTTTTAATATATAATAATAATTATATATATATTATTTCTTAGTTAATATTTAAGTTAAAATTAACTTTTATTAAAAAAATAAAGAAATTAATAATAATACCTTTAATATTATTATTATTATTATTATTATTATTATTATTATTATTA